TAAATAACAGTGGTATGCTTAGTTCACTGCCTTTGCACGTTAACATAGTCTTCAAATACTGAGTGTACATTACATTTTTTCCCCACACAGGGCCTTAACCTTCTGGAAACGATTGAGCAGAGAATTAGGAACCACCATGTTGTGTGCTATGTGAGGTTGTACCAAACAAGCGCCACAAACTACTCAAGTGTGAAGCTCTACATCTGTTAATATTTAATACATGTGTTGTACATAAAATTAACTGATGCTAAATGTTTTTTACTTAACAATAGGGTTCTTCTGATGTACAACTATTCACACCAAGCACTAAGGTTTGTCTCGAAGAAATTGAAAGCGGTTTTACGAACACAGATATACAAGTTGCCGTTAACCACTCACAGCACAGCACAGCGCTTTTAAACACAATGTAGGAACAAAAAAAGTAAAACATTAGTATAATTACTGTTAGAACATTTAGTTACCGAACAAATCGAACGCTAGCTTGATCAAAAAATATTTATATTATTTGAATCACAAATTATATAAGCCTGACCAAAACATTGCATAGTTATTTGGTTAATTTTAAACAACCAAATCTATCACTTGCATGCCTTCAATTATTTTTTCCTATTGCTCGAATTAAATAATTTACAAACCACGACAATAACAACATAAATAAAAGACAAGTTCAAAACGAAAGTTTAGGATTAATAATAAACAAAAACCTACAGATTCGATAAACCAGCTATAGATTCGATAAAAATAACTAAAAACTAGTTACCTACTGAGATACATAACACAAAGGTCAAAAATAAAATCACCATTACAACAATATAGAAATAGTCATAGTAAATGAACATGATAATTTAAATACAAGACAAATTTTCTACCTATAAATAACTAAATGCAACGACTGGATATCAGTCGGTTGTGCATGCACAGCCGGTACAAAACTAGTATACATATATAATATAACATATAAATATGAATAGATATTAAATAATAAATAAAATAACTTGTAAGACATTAAAATAAAAATTAAAAAAAAAAGTTAAAAAACACGAACATGAACATGTCGAACAACTACACGAACTTGTCGAACAATTCGAACAGTTCATGAACATGTTCGACTAGATAAACGAACGAACACGAACGTGTCGAACCAATAAACGAACGAACACGAACAAAATTTTTTGTTCGTTTACTAATCGAACGAACACGAACATGTTTAAAAATTAATTGAACTCGAGCTCAAACACCATAAGCTCGGTTCGGTTCGGTTTGATAACAACCCTAATTGCAGCACAAACTAAATACATTGGTCACAATTCAAAGCTAATCTGTAATGCCCGATATTGCTGCTTAGCCCTGCTTTTCAAGGACACATTTTTCTTTTGACCATTTTCCATTTTTTTTTTCAGGTGTAAACACTCCAAAAATTTTAAAAATTAAAAAATTAAGAAACGCCCCTTTACCAGTGCCTAATCCTGCATCGAATTATATCACTCAAAGTTGCATCATTTTATTTAACTTTGTGATGATAATCTGCCCTCTGCGCATTACTGGATTCTTGATTCTTTCTGCTTCACAAATTTAGGTAACTCAGAAAGTAATTTGTTACTCTTTGTTTATTCAATGCCAATGAAATGGCCTTTGTAATAAATTGTAATTACTAACAATATATATCCTTCTTTTATTCCTTTTAAATCAATCAAGAAATCACCAATTTCAATTGTATGATTTCCTTATAGATCAAGAATCATATCCCAAGTTTGTACTTTTGACATGTTCTAATCTGCAAATTGTTTCTTCAAGTAGCTCACATTGATCTTTATACAACTTCTTACAAACAATTCCTTTTGTGCCATCTGCATATTTTTCTCAATGTTATGTGATACATTCATATAGATTATCAATAAAATGATAATTTGACGTGCATTTGCATAAATTTCACAGGCCTAAAGTTTTTTTTTGTTTGAATGCAAATGAAGAACCAAAAATCGCAAATTTGTGGCCGAGTTGGCAATAATAAACTACATTATAATATACTTTCAAAGCCAGCCATACCTGCATATGAAATTGGTAAACATACTAATAATGTAGGTAGATATAACAAGGAGCCTTCATATACAAAGGACATTCAAAACAAACTACAAGGATAAACAGGGTTAATGGTAAGATACTACCCATCACAAAATAAACCATAATTCCTACACTTAGTAACAAAAGGCTGGAAACTAGCAAAACACAAACCAAAATACCCAATGGTTCCGTTCCATCACAAATTAAGCCTAATAAACCAGAGATATTGATTAACCTGCATGCACACCATCAATGGCCCCGGGACTTGATCATCGTCTGCACAAAAAGCTTTGCCTTTTCAGCCTTCAACTCAAAAAGCCTCAGGTACACCTTCATCTCTTCAATCTCCAGATTCTCCAATGCCTCATCGTCCTCCTTATTTCCCATTTTCCCCTCCTTGTCCTCAACAGCTGGAACATCCCCTGAACCCCTCAACAAGCTTTCACTCATCCACACAAACCTCCTCTCACTACCACTTCCATTGCCTTTTTCGACCATGTTTTCTTTCTCACCAGCCGCATTTTCTTTCTCGGCCCCACTTCCATTGGGGTTTTCTTTCTCGGGTCTTGCTAGGCCTTCTGCAGTGGCGGGCGAGGTACTAGAGCTTTGGAGCTCTCTTCGGAGCTGGCTTGGTCTGCTGTCTTCTTCGGACGTTTCTGTTGAGGGAGGCTTCGTGTTTAGGTTTATGTTTATTTGTAGTTTTTGTTTGTGTGTTGCGTTGTTTTGCTATTGTTTGTGTTGTCAGTGTTTTAGGTTTGGGCCGTTGGCCCCTGTGAGTCCGAGTGTCAAATTTATTACTCCGTGGGGGTCCGACACTCGGGTATTACTCCATTGGGGGTCTTGTTTAGTTTTGTTGGTGTAGTTGGTTTCGTATGGTTGTGTTTTTTCGTTGTTTTCGTGCGTGTTGCCCGAGTATTACCCCGTTGCGGTCGGCTCTAGGCGATCTCTGGATCTGCCTCCCAGTTTTCTAGTCTCTGGTTGTACTTTTCAGCCTTTGGCTGCCTTTTCTTCGCACTTTGTGCGGTTTTTTATTAATATAATACCTCTATCGTTTCGGGAAAAAAAAAAAAAAGTCACACAAGTAACAAATGTCATTCTAAAATATATAGTAATATATATTTTTTGAAAATTAAATAAAATGTAAAATAATTTTTCTCATTAATTTTAAAATTTAAGAATAAATTTTTAACAAGCACCCGTGTAATACACAGGTATTGTACTATTAGTATTGTTATTTATAAGTTTGAACTAGTATGAATCAACGGATGAGAGATAATTATTAATATTTATAAATTACAAATAATTATTAAATAATATTTTTAAATTAAAATATAAAATTAATATGTGATATTATTTACCTATATTAATTTAAAATATTATGAGAAATTTAAATATTATAAAATTACATAAAACATGTCTATATAAATTTAATACACGACCCGTACGGTACACATAACTGATAATAAATTACATTATATTTATTTCAAAATAAGTGTCATTTTAAAAACTTTATTCAAAAATCGATTTGAATATAATGTAGTTCGATAAAATAACTATTTTGATAAAATTATATCATATATTTAAAAATTTATCTGAATAATAAGTATAATATTGAAAGATATATTTTTTCAAAAATTAAAATAAATTTATTTTTATATAAACTATCCAAATAAAAAATTTAAGTAATTGAGTAATTTATTAAACTATAAATAATTTACTATTCTATTTACGTCCGAGTTAATATTGACCCGTAAGTAATTAATAATTGCTTATTTGCACTATAAATTTAGAACCCAAATTTGGACTACACAACAAATTCCCTTATATATATATTACTAATCTCAAAATTTTCTATATTTATTGTCGGTTACCTTATTGTTCAAATTTATGAACTAATTTTCGAGAATTAATTACAAATTTTAAATTTTATTATTATTCAAAGATCTTTCTAATTTTCAAGAGGAATACATATCAATTTGTCGAATTATCATCAATAACTTATGGCAAGTTATATGAGAATATGTTAAAATTTGAGAATTGTGTCACCTTAATTTTATAACAAATCAACCTAAAATTCAACTTTCATACTCATACTAATTAAAATTTATATCACTTATTTTATTTTTAAAATTTTCAAATACACTTCCATCCATACTAAATGAAATTCATATAAATTCAGACATTTCATACCAAAATAAAAATCGCCCTCTTTTTATTCATCATAATACTCAACTATTATACTATTCTAAAATTTATGTCTTGTATTAAGATATTTTTTTAAAATTAACTACCCAATTTTATTATATTCAAATATTTTGATATTTCTAACAAACTAAATCTTATATTCTTATAGCTTACGCAATACGAAATTCTATTTACGGTACGTAGTATAAGAACTAAAACACGACAAATTACGTTATAAATATTTTAAAACACTAAAAGGTATACAATTTCAATATGAATGGTCGTTAAGGTGATATTACATTATTATGGGGAAACCCGTGCATCAGGCAGGGCTAAAAAATTCAAAATGTTAAAACTTAAGAAAATGTTAAAACTTAAAGAAAATTATTTATTAAAAAAAAACAAATAAATAATGTAATAGGATATCAACCAATTTAATGCATGATATATCATGTTTATCTATATAAAATTTGTATTCCAAAATTTTTAAGTTTATAATTTTTCGTTCAATCGAAAACACGTGTTCTGGATATTAGTTAGACTCTTAAGAATTATCAACACAGAATATTTCTTTACAAAAATCATTTGTGATATTATTAGTATCAAAACTAATTGATAGAGTCCCAAAAAATTTGTTATGTTTTGCAAAATTGGAGAAGGTAGTATTTTCTTTTATAGAAAAATAAATCTTTTATACCACGATGACTTGTGAGATTTTATTGAGGAGTTCAAAATTGTGGAAGTGTCGGAATTTTTTTAAAGCATTCAGATTTTTTTTAACTAATTTCCATAAAAATAGGTTTCTTCCCAACCTTTAAACTAGATTACAGAAAATTATGGTGAAATTCAAATCTATGCAATCCAATCTGATATACCACAATGAATTGTGTCATTTTGTTTTAAATTTTCTAAAATTTCAAACCGTTATTTAGGCGTCTTATCCCAATTTTTTTCAAAAAAAAATTTAGTAAGTTTTAGGCGGGATTTTGAAATGTTTTTTAGTTACTATTTTAGCTTTATTAGGTTGTCTCTTTATATAATAACTAGTACGAATCCCGTGCGATGCACGGATAAGAGATACATATTAATGTTTATATTAAACGATGGGATATACATTAACAACATAAAACGTAGAGAACTAAAGTAAATACAACCACACATATATCTATATATTTGAAAAAAAAATAAAAAAAAATAACCATTTGCTTTTGAAAATCTATATTGTCAACATCTTGCTGCATAGCAAAATTACAGAAGTCAAAATAAAATGTTGGGAAATCGGTATAATACTCCAACACTTTGCAATAATAGATTATTATTTACCAATGTTACTTTCTACCATCCTTGAACTTGTCACTCATCTTCATAATGTTAACATCACGAATTAGTACAGTTATGCGGCCACCCTGTAAAATTGCAATACAAAAATAATATTTTCGTAAAAAAATATTAAAATAATAAATATTGACAAATACTAATATCACTATCGTGGAAAACTATTTTCAAATAACTTCTGTAAGAGGCATCAAACATCGTCTTAAAGATGCTGCTGGAAGTTTCAAGATAACCTTCGTATTTCATTTAAAATCCTTGATTAGATCAAGGGTTGATCCATGCCTTTATTTCGAATGTGTGAGTTTATGATTAGTATTGGATTTAATATTACCAGGAATGTGAATTTATTTATAGGTGAAATTTATGTGCATATATATGTACTTATTTTCTAAGCTTTAAAATGTGGATTTACATGATAAAAACTTATTACTTGATTTAATTTTTTTGGCGATTTTGAAAGAAATCGGATCATATCCCAAAAATGTCCTAAGACTTGATAATGGGGAAATATTGTTGTTTTTTCACGTGCTTTTAAAAAAATATTTTAAAATGTGTGAAATCACATTCATTCATTTGACACATACATACACTTAGACGCATTCCTAAAAGTGGATTTAAATCCGTTAATATTAATCTATCATAAAGGCGAGAAAATATCTCATTTCTTGCATGAACAATCATAACATGTAAAAAGCACACCAAAATGAAGTTTGAAATACTTCAAAACACTTTAAGGAAATAAAAAGTTCCATGTCCTTGTTTTTACATAACCTTGATAGAGCTTGAATTAATGAACTATGGTAAAAGGATATGATTGGCATTTGCAAGCAAGAGTCTTCTACTTCATAACTCCATAAATTTTCAACATTCAAGCTAACGTGAGAAAAAGGGAGAAAACCTTTTACATATATTGAGATATTCCTTGAACCAATGAAACCAAAGAAACGAAAAAAACTATCTCAATAATAGAAAAATATAAATACAGAATTTCACATGATCACCAACCTCCTCCAATAGCTCTTCTATATGTTCACTAAAATTACTCCAACTATCCAACGTGAAAAAAAAAATAAAAATAAAAATTGACAAGCCTTCTAAACAATTTTAAGAGAATTGAGATAAAGATGAAAGTCTCCAAATAGAAATTTAACAATTGAACAATGAAAGGATATTCTATGGCTTGATAAATGTGTAGGTGCACACACATGATTTAATCATCCTGTAAATTGCATATCCAATATTAGCTTCAATATTAGGCTGTACAATTTGTTTTCCATAAGCATATACACTCAGATGAAAAACAGTACATACATCTTCTAAAAAAAAGAGTGAACACAATGACCGTGCACTTCTGCTTACGTTGTATACAAAATTTCACTCAATAAAGAATCAATTCTAACCATGGCAGCTTACCAAACAATACTGACAGTAAATTGGAGTCCCAGGCAGCAATGATAGGAAACTAAACATATTAGTGAGACTCACACTTACATGCCCATAAAGAATTGACCCTTGACCCTACCAACCGTTACACAATTTCACTTTGGTGTTCGCATGTGAACATGGATTTTCATAACAACATGGCTTGAACATTGAGAAAAAGTTCATTATAGAAATATTTGAATCCCTAAGCAAGATCATTTAGCTACTTAGCTGCTATGAGTGTGTCAAGGGAAAAAAAAATATTTGAACGCATCCTATAGAATACGAAGCGGTTCGACACATTGAAGTATATTTAAGACAAAACAGGGTATTCAAACATAATATGCATTTTTCACATTGAAATGATAATCCTAAAGTTACCTCCAAGTTCAACTTTGGAAGATAGCTAATTAGCAGTTCGCTGAAGAACACATGTGTTAGATGTAGTGTCTACCACGGGATGAGATTCAGTGTCCCATATAGAACTTGCTTTAATTCTCAGATGAGCTTTCCCAACTCCATCACCTACACAGTATCACAACTAAAATGAGAAAGTACAAAAAAATTGTAGTGATAATCACTATACTAATAACTCTGCATAATCACAATTCACACAATTGTCAATAAGAAAACAATAGGCCTAACAGAAACTATAATAAGGTCGAAAGAAAAAAAAAATATGCGGACATCAATTGTCCACCACAGGACAATTTCTTTCCAATTCCAATATTCTAATTTTGTCACAATGTCAGCTACAAACACTACCAAATCACTAAAACCCAGAAAATAACGTTGGAATGCTACCTTCTCATCGCGCTTGAGAGTCGAGCGCTCCGCCAACGGCAAAGATGAGTAGATCCCGCGTCTATCTGAACAAATTAGCAGGAGTCTTGTTAATTGTCTCATTTTCCAAAATTTTCAACCCTTTTATCTGTAAATAATGTAGATAGTAAGCAAAAGTTTTAAAAGGCCCAATTCATTCAACAAATCATTCTACTTTAAAAGGCCCAAGTATTGAAAATCTTCTTTACACATAAATCTATATTGTTTGGTTTTGAATCCTTTTCTTAGTAGGATATACTTCTAAGAAATTTCCAGCTTAAGAAAATGAAGCTGCATTGCATTACCTACTGTTGTTCCTACCATCTACTACAATGACATGTATAAAAAAAATGTGATTTTCAAATTTATTTTGCCAAATATTCTAGTAATATTCTATAATGTCATAATTGTTCAACAAAAATAAAATACATAAAAGGAGAAGGCAAGAAGCAAAACCTGACACTCAATTAAGGTGCCACCAGATTGCACCAAGTCGTCAACGATAACAACATGGCAGCCCGCAGGGTTACCCTCCTTTATTCTGACTATTCTCTTGTCTCCTTCCCGAACCTTGTTGCAGATGACCTACAACAATTATCGCGATCCAGAAAATTCCCCAAAATGAAAAGTCAAAAGCAACATACAAAGAAAATTAATGCTACATATAACATAGAAAAATACAAACCATAGGAAAATGATCGAACAACTTGTGGAATCGTTTCCAAGCTCCATCATCAGGAAATGCAACGATGATCTATATAAATTTAGAAGTTAGCCTAACAAATTCGATAAGGATTAAATGTCCTCATTTGGGACTAACATCGGGACCCCTTGAAGGACAACGGTATATGTTTCATAGGATATGCGCAATCACCTTATCTAACTCTGGAAGTTGCTGAAGCCATTGCTTCAAAAGGGGATTCCACTTTCAAACACAGGCAATACAGTATCACTGAAGTAAAATCTTTCCTGTAGAAATTAGCAGATGGAAAATACATTTCTTAAGGCATCATGGAAGTAAAACCTTCCATTTGTGAATAAAAACCATGAAACTTTAATAGCAATTTAGGACAAAAGAAGTTAAAGTAATAAAAAAATAAAAATAAAAATCTTTTTTCATTTGTAACAGCAAATGCTAGGTGAATAAAATCGATTGTAGCTGGATGAGGTCTGAATGAGTTGCGACCTTGCATGCCAAATCTTCAGCTTCCACACAGTGGAAAAGTAGCACTTGCTTCTTTGGTCTCTCCATCTTCTTGTCGCACTCCCAGACTCACTGCTATGGGTTAAAGAGTGCATATATATCATTTCAGTAGCTTATCAATTTCAACATAACATAAGCAAAGAAACATTAATAAAAAATAGATATACTAAATCAAAACGTATGAACATTATACACCATTCTTGGTAAACAATGGCAAACTAATGCTTCAAGTTCATTAAAAATTAGATTGTAGATTGACAGATTAAGGAAACAGAAGAAATGCACACATAAACAAATAGAGATATGAACTTCTATTTATTTAGGAGTTCTACCATCAACCAAAAATATGGATAGGCATTAGGCAATTAACCTTCCAAATCCAGATCAAATTCCAGAGTAAGTTATATATGAGCCTTAAAATTAACAAATCCAATTTCTGGTCAAAATTGCAAAAAATCCTAAAATTATCTTCTGTCGTCCATCATAACACATCAGATCAGTGGGTATAGAAACCAAAACCACATGTCACAGACCACATCAAATTTTCAATTATGGGAATAGAAACCAAAACCTTCAACAGTAAAGCAACCAAAGGAAGGAGTGTAAAAGTTATACCTGTATGAGACTTTAAAAAATCCAGAAGCCGGCTACGGAAAACCTTCCTCAACCACAAATTTTCGCTAAGAGATTGAGACGTGCTCTTGCTTTGGGTTGCTTCAGCATTCAATAAGAGAGGATGGGGCGGCGGCGTGAGGCGAGGTCCAGGCGGAGGTTGAGGCAAGGTCGAGGCGGAGACGTCTCACTTTTCCTCTCCGGCCGGCAGCGTGAACTGGAGTTGAGACGAAGAAAGAGCGGACGGGGCTGCGGAGTGTGAGAAGTTGAAAAAAATGGAGAAAAGAAATAAAAACCCTATCAGTGTACGTCGTAAGAGTAGGGATGGCAATTTGACCTGGACCCGACCCGAACTGGCCCGACCTGCAGTTTTTGGGGCAGGTTGGACCCGCCCCGTTACCCAAAACGGGCCAGGTCGGGTCCGCCCCGTCAATATACGGGGCAGGTCCGGGTAATGATATCTGCCCCGCCCCGCCCCGCCCCGACCTGGCCCGGCCCAACCATGATCAAATTTTTTCCCTATTTGATATTTACACTTATCTCTTCTCTTATTTTTTTTCCCACTTGTTGTCATTCTCTCTCGTCAGTTTTTATCTCTTTCTTTTTTCTCCCCTTTGTCTCATTCTCTCTCTTTCCATTCTGTAAGTTTCTTTCTTTTTTTCTTCTTGTCTCTGCACATCCATCTCACTCACTCACACGCAGCCCCACAAAAACACTTCCGATGACAAGATCTGCGGGGCTATCGACGAGGGGTGATGATTGATGACAGCGACTGGGGCTAAGGGTAATGAGTCTCAATTGAATTAGGATTTGATTTATCATCATGAATTTGCGATTTGGCTATCTAGACAAGAAAGAAGAATTTGGCTTGATGGTCTAGGCTCGATTTCAGCCATGGTTTTGACGATTTGGGTTGATTTTTGAATTTAGAAGTTGAGTTTTGTAAATTTTAAAGATCTGTTCTTGTTGGTTGTTCTTGTTCTCCGAGTTTGCTGTTGTATAAAATTAGAATCTAGATTGAATTTTTTTTTAATAAAATGACAGGTCGGGCCAGGTCGGCCCGCCCCAACACGGGCCAGGTCGCGGGCCCGCCTCAATGGACCCGTAACGGGGCACGGGCCAGGGCGGGGTGCGAGATTATAGGCACGGGGTGTTCGCTAATTATTTTTGCTATCCGCAAGTGTACGGAGTAACTATAGGTAGTGGCGAGCAAGGTCGTATTCCACAGAGATTGTAGTTAAATTAATTATGTACTAAAATAATGACGACTAAATATTATCTAGACTAATGAATTGGATGATGATTATTAACTAAGAAATTAAACTAAGAACTAATCTAACTAAAAATAAAAATAAAAATAAACCAAGAAACAAAAGGTAGATTCTACGCTAAGCGTTCCTCGGAATTAATTCATGAAACGTTTATATTCAAACAAACCTTATTTAATTTTACCAATCGTAGAGATAATCGCTAAAGTGATTTCAAACCTTTCTCTCGAACAAGTCAAATCGTAGATATTAATTGTTATCTATCTTCTCTCGGTCTCAAGATGAACAACTAACTCCCATAAGTTCCTAGGATTTTCGTTCTCTCGCAAGGTCCTATCAACCTCTCGGTCTGTTTATTCTCTTACGTTATAAATTTCCCAATTCTAGCAATCAATTATCTCCTCTCGGTCTCAAATCGATCACAAATATGCATTCATAGTGGCCATCTACTCACACAATAATAATAAGCAAAAGAAATTCATAAACGAAAGATAAATCGGAATGAAAGAAATAAAAACGAAATCATAAATTAATCCGAGTACTAACAAATCCTAGAATCTAAAATAAATCTAGCCTAGAAACATGTTATCAAAATAAGAAAAATAGATATAAAACATTGAGTTCCAAAGAGGAAAAGAAAAAGAAAGAAAAAGCTTATTCGGCTCCGTCGATCCTTTCTTCTCGGCTTTCTCCCTCGTCTTGCTCGTGTTTCTAGCCTCCAAAAGTCTCCAAAATATGTCCAAGGCTCCTCAAAAACGTGGCCTAGTGTTGTTTAAATAGTTGGAGTCGAGTCCTAGTCGAAATAGGTCGAAAATACCACAAAAATCGGAAAAACGCGTATTGGTCGCGCCCAGGGTCACACGACTCGTGTCATAGGTCACACGAGTCGTGTGACAATGCCGAGAGCTCATAAAACGACCCGTCAGAACGACACGAGCCGTGTCGGGCTCACACGACCCGTGTTAGTCTGGAGCTTCAATTTCGTGGCTGTTTTCGGATCCTGGCTTGTTCTACGGACTCTCAGGCGTTTTCCGGTGGTCGTAAGTGGCGTACATGTGGTCATAAGACGTCGTTGTGGTCGGCCATGGGAGCTCCGTTCAAATTCCGGCCAACTCCTTCTTCTCCGGCATAAAGCTCCTGGTTCGGCATTACCGGTGGTCTGAACGACTCTTTTAGCTCTTCAGCGGCAGGTGGTATGGTCTCCCGTCGTCGAGGTGGTCGGACATGGTAAGTTCCGGCCAGCTCTCCCGCAACCATGGCGTACAGCGGCCTGAGCTGGTTTATTCTTCGGAGAGAAAACGACGCCAAAAAGGTGCTCCGACCATCTGGAATGCGTCGGTCGGAATTCGGGCAGGACAGTGGCGAGCGGTCTCCGGTCGAAGCTTTGCAGCAGCTTCAATGGCGGACGCGTGATAGCGTGAAGAAGAAGAAGTACGCTGGCCCATTTTCATCAACATTGAAAAGACTATATTGCCCTCAACTTAATTGTCACTTGGGCTGAATGTGTATGGGCCAATATTGGGCTGTGAAGTTAGGCTTAGCTGGGCTGATTCTATCTTCCAAGAGGGCCATATAATTAGATCCGTTCAAATACACTGCTAGCATACTACCTTCGACCGTTTTTACCGTTTTCGACTCCAATTATTTATTCCAAACCTATTTCCTGTCACAACTCAAATAAAGCACCTTCGTCATAGCTTAATAATATTAATTAAATAAATAATTAATTAAACAATAATTAATTATATAATAATTAGTTATATATCAAACTACGACGAAACGGACACAGAAATCACTATAAAATGCACGTAAATATGACGCATGTCACGGGGCAGGTCCGGGTACTGAACTACCCGGCCCAACCTGCCCCATTGCCATCCCTACGTAAGAGCACAAGTCCCTTTGTTGATTTATCAAAATGCCCTCATATCTCCATGTCGGGGAGGATGGCGGCGGCGAGCTCGTCGAAGTCGAGAGCGCCTTTGTCGTTGGCGTCCATGTTGTCGAGGAGAGCGTGGATCTGGTCGTCGGAGAACTTGAGGCCGAGAGACCAGAGGAGGGCGGCGAGCTCGAGCTGGGTGAGGCTACCGTCGAACCGCTTGAAGTAGTTGTAGTGCTGACGGATCTGCTTTGCCATCGCGATTTTGGCCGGAAATATTTGGGGATAAAAAGAGGAAGCTTAGAGAGATAAGAGTGATAGTTTTTTTTGGAAAAGATAATCAAGGATATACTAAAATAAATCTGTACTCAATCTTTCCTAAAATTTAGCTCCCAATTTTAAGAAAAATCTTATTTTTAAATTTTTGAAAAATTCAAACAGATCTGGTAGAGGCGGGATATTTCAATTTTTGCCAAAATATTTACCTAGTAATTCTGAAACTTTAGGCGGGAATTGAAATCTTTTTTTGCTGATTTTTTAGTTGATTTTTTCAAACAACTATCATTCCCTCTTTATATATTAATAAATAATAGATATTGATTATCCTTTTTTTGCCTTTTTTTTTCATAATGGCAGGTTTTATAGCTCAATTAAACTGTACAAACAGTACAAACCTAACCGCTAAACGGTAGAAACAGAGGAATGTTAACAATGGCCACCTAGCAAGATAAAAAAAATAAATCACCACAGATAAGCAAATTTCGGCATAGACTGAAGCTAGGAATCCCGTAATCGTTTATTGCAATAGTCGTACTAATCAATAGAGAAGTGCTTGACAAAAGATAATCCTACTACTGAACCAACGGACCTAGCAGGATTACCACTACCAACACCAAAACAATACAGAACTGACAAACTAAACAGCCAAAACTGAAAATAGGAAAAGAACAGCCTAAGCTAACTAACCAACTACTACACACTATCAAATTCAAACCAAGCCGAGGAAGCTGCCTGTACTATGGTGAACACAGCCAGCCAAATGGTTTGGAAAACTCAAAGATTTCGGGCTTTCCATATTGATGTAAAGCGTGGTAGTAAAAAAGGAATATATGAGAAGAACTCACTTAAATTTCAATAATCTGATTCAATACAATTTGTCCTCCTCAAGCAGACAGAAAGCAATATATATAAAACTCCTAACTATCCTATTCCTACTTATCTTCCCTAATAAGATAATTATTTAATTACCAAAACAACTTAAATAACTAAAGAAATTAAATAAAATGATAAATATTAATTAGGAAATAAATCAACTAAATACGAAGACGGTCATATTTATCCAAGAATGCAATCGTGGTCTCGTCTCCATCATCTTCCCCGTTGGGAAGGACTAGCCCGCGAATCCGAACCGGTCTCTTCTCCGTCCAAATTGTCGCCAGTGAAGGGCACTAGCTTGACGTTGAAAACGTCAGAAGTGCGAATATGCAAAAGAAGTCGGAGGCGATAAGCATTCGAGTTGATCTTCTAAACCACCTCGACCGGGCCAATCTTCTGGGCAGACAACTTGGTGTACTCATGGGCCGTGAACCTGTCCTTTGTTAAAATCGCCCAAACAAAGTCACCTACCTCAAATTCGACATGCCGACGACGAGCGTCCACCTGTCGCTTATAAGAGACCGTCGTCGCCTCCAACCGAACACGAGCCACTGCATGGCTCCGTGTAACTAATCCATTTTGTGAAATTACTTAATATTTCTCGTCATTGATAAATTGTTCACCCATTGTTGCCGATTTAAATTCGTTCGTCAACTGTCGAGATAGACCGTTCGTGCAGGCCGTTCGAATAATTTTATTTCTCGTCAATCATCGATCGTTCGCTCGTCGTCGTTCAATTTATAGAATTTCTCGGATTGTTCGAGTTATCGGCATTTTATTTTATTTTTCTATGCCTTATTTATTTTCCGATGACATTCTGCATCGCATCCTAACTTTTAGATTCTTATCAAAATTAGCAGAAGAAACATGACCAAAAGTTGTCTTATCCAAACTCTAAAATGTGGTCTATTCATTTTTGTTCTTCTTCGATATATATGCACATTACTTATACGCATTCTTTAGATTTAAAAGTTCATTATTGTGTTCTCATTTTACCTTTAGTAAGAGATGCACTATTTTTTCTCTTACATAAAATTATCTGCAAAACCTTCGGCAGAGCCTTGCTGTGGGATATCAGGAGATTTTCCGAACCAACTGTTGAGCTGAGTAAACACGAAGGGCCCGTTAAACTTTTACACTTGGATCGTCACAAAATCGTAACTGGTGGGCCGTATGATTCCTATATAAAAGTTTGGGAGACCGATACAGGCGAACATTTGAATTCATTGATCTCTTCTGGTGAAGATGGAAAACAAAATTACACGGGATGCTCCACAATGGCAGTTGACAGGTGTCTGACTGTGACTGGTTGTGGTGTAGCATACGGGGAAACTCTCTGTTGCGCTTCAGGGATTTCATGACCGCCACCTGGCGTGTGCCGTCTGGCCCGTACAAACCGGACCCAAGTGCTTCCAAGTTCTAAAGTTCTCTTTCGGATATCAGTAGTCATTCAGAAGAATCTGTTGGTTTTCTGTAGAGGGACTGTTGATTGTAAGGAAATGATAATAGTTCTTATGGTTTTTCTATTGAAGTGTTTTTTGGAAAAAGAAATAAACATTTTTTAAGCAAAATTTGTAGTGTAGTCTGTCACATATCAAGATTTTCTAATTTCAATTTTTTAGTTTGCGATTAAATGTCAGTTTTTTTAATTTATTTTCGTACATTTCATCAGAGATTTTTTCCCTCAACTAATATTGGACACATAAAATTTATGGTTTATACTCCACTCATTTATACATTTTCCTTTCGATTAAAGCAAGTTAAAAAGGAACGAAATAATAGGCCATAGTGGGCGGAAACTGGATGGAGCAGTCTGTGTCTTAGACTCTTAGACTCCACAAAATGGCTTAGCCTGATTTTTACTACCAAATGTTACACCATAGTTTTTTCAAAAGGAATCGTATATGTACAAAATAGTTTAAAAATGAGACACCGACATAGCAAACAATGAGCAGAGTGTAAGGTGAATTGATGAGCCATATACTTTGATTGCAAATGTAGAACCAAACATCGCAAATTTGTGGCCGAGTTGGCAATAATAAACTGATTTCCTACATTATATTATAATATACTTTCAAAGCCAGCCATACCTGCATAGGAAATCGGTAAACATACTAATAATGTAGGTAGATATATCAAGGAGCCTTCATATGCAAAGGACATTCAAAACAAACTACAAGGATAAAAAGGGTTAATGGTAAGATACTACCCATCACAAAATAGACCATAATTCCTAAACTTAGTGACAAAAGGCTGGAAACTAGCAAATCATAAACACAAACCAAAATACCCAATGGTTCCGTTCCATCACAAATTAAGCCTAATAAACCAGAGATATTAATATAATCACAAGGCTGCTACCTGCATGCACACCATCAATGGCCCCGGGACTTGATCATCGTCTGCACAAAAAGCTTTGCCTTTTCAGCCTTCAACTCAAAAAGCCTCAGGTACACCTTCATCTCTTCAATCTCCAGATTCTCCAATGCCCCATCGTCCTCCTTATTCCCCATTTGCCCCTCCTTGTCCTCAACAGCTGGAACATCGCCTAAACCCCTCAACAAGCTTTTCCTCATCCACACAAACCTCCTCGCACTACCCACTGTCTCCGCCCCACTTCCATTGCCTTTTTCGACCATGTTTTCTTTCTCAGCCCCACTTTCATTGCCATTTTCTTTCTCAGCCCCCCACACTTTCTCCGACAGATCGTAGGCTTCCCGCTCATGCTGGCTCGTAAAGGTTCTTCCTTTACCATCATGCTCCTTTCTTTTGTTGTTTGTATACTTCTTTTTCATCCTAGAAATCTTATCCCTCAGCTGGGCCCTCGTCGCCTCAATTTGCAAATTCTTCTTGATAAACTCAAAAAAAGCGTCAAAATTTTCATTCAGGTCGGATTTCTTCTGGGCCCTGAACTGCATAATTCCGTTGAGGATGGTAATTTGGTCCGCCTCGCTCCATATCCTCAGGAACAGTTGTTTCTCGGGTTCAGCCTTCTTACTCTTCTTCGACTTCTTGGTGACAGCGGGCTCCGTCCCCTTAACCTCCTCGACGGCCCTCTTCCTGGTAGATCTGGCCGCTGAAGCGGAGGCGGCGGCCGGCGGTGGGGAAGTCTTCCGGATCTGTTCGGGCTCAGATCCGATTTCCTCAGACGAAGAATCGTCGGTTTCCTCCTCGCCAGAAGAGGTTCCAGAGGAGATGGGCTCACGGGCTTTCTTACTGTTCTTCGACTTCTTGGTGACAGTGGGCTCCGTCCCCTTAACCTCCTCGACGGCCCTCTTCTTGGTAGATCTGGCCGCTGAAGCGGAGGCGGCGGCGGCCTTGTCCTTGCGTTTGGACTTGGATTTTTTTCTGGGCTTTTTGTCGGATTCGGATTCAGAATCCTCGTCGGATTGGGGTTTCCTCGAGGCGGCCGGCGGTGCAGAAGTCTTCCGGATCTGTTCGGGCTCAGATCCGATTTCCTCAGACGAAGAATCGTGGGTTTCCTCCTCGCCAGAAGAGATTCCAGAGGAGACGGGCTCACGGGCTTTCGCCATTTTACGGTGAGAAAATTATGATGTTAGGGTTTTTCTTTGGAGGGGGACAGAATGAGAGAAAGAGGCGAAGTAGTGGTTTGATATTATAGGCTTTAGTTATTTTAGTAAAATATTTTTGGTTTGGTATGATATTGATTTGGCAGTAATTATTTTGGTAATTAGATATTTGATTGATTTGTTTTTCATCTTTTACAATTTTTATATATTGGATGTAATTTTTTGCGCCACTCGCGCGTTGCGCAGCCTAATATTAAAAATAGTGCGAATGAATGATAATTTAATAAAAAAATATTTTTAAAATAATTTATTGAGATAATGTAAAATAAATTTTTTATTAATCTATTTAAAAATCTATAAATATATAAAAAAGTTTGGTATTTACCTGAAATAGTAACTAAATTCTCGCCTAAAAAATTTATTTTTACCGTTATTAATAATTTTTTGAAAAATTTTAAAAAGTGGCGGTCAGTTTTTTGAAATTCAAATTAAAAAAATTAATTTAATATTTGTATGGTCAACTATTGCGGCTATTACCTTTATTAGTTGTATGACTTAAATTTAGTATACAAAATATTAACAAAAAAACAAAAAGATTCTTTAAACCAACAATATATTAACAAAAAACAAAAAGATTCTTTAAACCAACGAATGCATAATATTCTATATTGATGGTCTCATAAAAGTATTCCAAAACTTTAGCAACATCATAAATCAACGAGGAAGAAAAATATTTAAAAGATATGGAATGCATTTCTATTGGATCACGAGGAACATACCTAAATTACCACTTTGAATATCATTTATTTAATTCCAGTAATTATATATATTTCACATTTGAATATCACTACACATTCTTTGGACTTATAAATGAAATATACTAAATACATAAATAAATATGTAGTATATGACAGGGAACAAAAATAACTTCACAAATTCTTATCTTACTTTTTTTAACAAAAATGCATACTTAACATATTAAATGTCATATGTTTGTTGATATCGTAATTTAGATTACAACATTTCAATTTTATAAGTATGCAAAAATCTATTGAAAAAATACAACCATTTAACCATTAGATTTGCCCAAGAGTAATCTTACTAAAATGAAATAATTCCCCCTATATATAATTCCCAAATTTCCTGAGTCTAAGGCTGTGTTTGGTAAACCTAGCTGATAAGCTAGCTGGTAGCTGATAAGCTATAAGCTAGTTGGTAGCTTATAAGCTATAAGCTAGTTGATAAGCTATAAGCTAGTTGGTAGCTTATAGCTTATGGCTGAAAAACTTAGCTTATATAAATAAACATGTTTGGCAAAAGTAGCTTATAAGCTAGTTAAAAATAATTACTTAAAATTTAAAAATACATAGTTAGCTTATTAATATTTATAACAAATTTGTTAATATGATTATTATTATTATTATCATTGATTATACAATTAAAATAAAAATAGACACACAATTTTCAATAAAAGAACACTAATTAATAATAGTTTATAAGCTAGTTAAAAATTACAATTAATTTAAAATTTAAAAGTACATAGTTAGCTTAGTAATATTTATAAGAAAATTGTTAATATATTATTATTATTATTATTATTATTATTATTATTATTATTATTATTATTATTATTATTATTTCCATTTATTATAAAAACATGCACAATTTTCAATAAAAAAAGCATAATTTGAAATTTACTTATCAAAGATAAATATTTTGTTCAAAGAAAATAAGTCATACAATATCTATACTGTTGCATTCCAAATCATCTTTGCAATATCATTGCGAATATTTTTCATCACATTTTTCATACAATATCTATACTTGTTTGCATACTACCCAATTCCAATAATAAAATAATATTCTTCCTTTGATTATTGTTCATAATATACCTATTAATCATAAAGTAAAGTAACATTTTCATTAATATAAGAATCACAAACAAGAGAATAGCCAAATAAAATTAATATTGCTAAATTCACATAAAGTGTCCAAAAAACACATAAGCTATAAAATGTCTAAAAAATTATATTTGTAATAAAACTAGAAGCATATATAAGATAAAACCAATTCACCAGTACGAATGACTATTTCTAAAATTTAAAAAATGTTCTTGGCATGCATAAACTTCAACCAAGAAAGCCTAGCACTATCATTGTCCATCTTTAGAAACATTTCTCTATTCACGGAATCCCGAAGCACACAAATCGAATGGCACCATAGTTCACCACCCTCATCCATCCCACCATTAGTTGCCAAATCGTTCATAGTATCAATTACTGATTGTACACTTGCTCCATTTGAATTCTCACTATCTTTGGGCGTACCATGTTTAAGCAATCCAAGAACATTAGAATGAAATTCATTTACTTGATCTAAGTGATGTTTAATCATTACAGATCCACCGGATTGTCTCCTTTTGCGCTTCAATTCTTTGGTTTTAGTGGACATTGAGGTCGATTTACTTGATTGAGTACCTTTAGAGACAATATTAGGAGTTGAGCTGGCCCGAATTGGTGGCTGACTCGGATCATTACCATTCACTGTAGCCACGAAATCATTCCAAAAACCATTCTCTTCCTGTTCCAAGCCTTCTAACCGAGAAGTGTACTGAGAATATGTTGAATAAGTATCATTTCCATCCACTAAATTCACATCCTCCTCATTGTCTTCATCATCATCTATGTTCACAGGCTCTTTATTGTTCAAAGATTCATGAGTGGCGGAAGGCGCTACACAAGCTGATCCAGTAGCAATTGTGTCTCCAAATAGACGATCCCATTCTTCTTCAATAGAGGGATGTATTGCCTTATTACGAAACTTCTTCGCTTCGAGCTTCTCCTGCATAATAGTAATAAGTTTTAAAATGCTCAATAAGTACTTAAAATTTATTCACTTAAGCTAATTTAAAATTACCATTACCTTGATTTTTCTCTCCCACCATTCATCAGAGCAATCGATCCCAACCTAGCCCGTTCTCTCCAGTTTTTAAATATTTCTAAAGGCGCCAATCTTTCTTCATGTAATCAAACTTGTTTTTAAAGCTTTTGATTAGTCGGAAAACGTGCTTGTATTAATGGTCTAATATTGTAATTGTGCACGTTTAATTCCTCGCATTTATGCATCTTTCGACTTATTTGATATTATGAACAACACTCGTGCTTTGATGAGTTTTTGAGTGATTTTCAGTATTTTTGGAGCTATTTCTGGTTGCACGATGAGGTGTGGATGCTCGGAAGAAGGTTGAAGAAGAGTTTCCAGTGAGTACGGGGGTGTCCCGTACTGAACCAGCAGGCCCCGTACTGCGTGTAGCAGGCCCATGCAACTCATTTGTGGTGACGTGGGGAATTAATATTAATAGGGCCCATGGATTTCATGTTTGAAGGAAATGGGAATGCGGACAGGAAAAGGCCCACTTACTACTGGGTTACTTTAATAATTGACTTGGAGGATTTAATTTGACTTGGGGATTACATATAAAAGAAAGGAGACACGTGGCTGGAAGGGGGATATATATATACATGAGGAGATTTTGGATTAGGTATCATCATAAAACACAATTGCGGCTGGAACAGAGAGGAGGAGATCGCGAGTCACAGGCAACAGACTGCATTGGAACAGAGAATATTTATTCTTTTCTTTTCTTTGTTTATTTTTTCTCGTGTAATTAATTTTACGACTATGTTTTCGAACACTATGAGTGGGTAGTCCTTTTATTCTAGTTCCGGAGAAGTCGAACCCTACGATTGACTATGTTTTGATTGATTATATGGTTGATGATTTTAATATCTTTTTGGAATTGCTTGTGTTATTTTGAATAATTCACCATGATGTGTTAGTCTTGTTCAGATTGATCACCTAGATTAGGCTTTTCATATCTACATCTGAGTTAGACTTGTAATCCGTAATTGTTGTTGTGTTTAATTCATAAGAGGTAACCGGAAGATGGTAACTACCGGGGATAACACGGCCTAGTTAAGTGAACGAACGCGGTTGAGTTCACTAATTAGTTTAGCCTATTTTTCTAATTTGTAAAACGGTTAATTGTATTAAATCTTGAAAACGTTTTTCCAGACTGTACAAGAAGTCAGGTTTAATCGTCGAGCGTCTCGCGGTTAAATTAAAAATAAGGAAAAATTTGGGTAACAAACCGTGTCGTTACCTAGGGCTAGTAATTCCAGGAGATAGCGAAATCTGATACTAAAATTGATTAGACGAGTCAGTCGAGGGTGTAGACGGAACCGTGGACTAGAAACTTCCCCATTTATTTGATAATCATTTTTATTTGCTGCATTTGAGTTCATTTTGCTATTCATAATTCTAGTAGTTAGTTAATTCATACCATAACCCCCATTTTCATTAGTATTTTTATTATTTCAATTAAAGAGAATAATTACAATTAAATTCCACACTCCATATGGGTTCGACCCTTGCTCACTACTACTACTAGTTGGTAGAAGTCGGTTAAGAAAAATTTATTAATATATTTTGACTGTGTCGCGACGCGCGGTCAGCTTTTGTAGTTTGATTTTCTTTGTGTTCGTCTCAAACTGTTCTTGGATCTCACGCCATTTAAATGATTGGCCACGACCATGTTTCGTAATAAATTCAATACACAGGTCACAAAAGATTTTTAACTACTCATCCGTCCAAATAAAACTTGCAGCCTCGACTTTATCGTTTTTTGGTTCCATCTATTGAAATTTAAAAACTAATTAAATAACATAGATAAGACCCAAGCTATCACCACATGCATGGAATATTTGCACCAGAGCATCAAACTCAAGATAAGACCTATATTGAGTTAAGGGTGATAAAACTGGACACCAAGGAACAATTTTGTACAGTTGTCCATCAATTAATCTCTTGTTAATTGAATTGCTCTCTTTTTATGTTTCTTTGATTTCTCGTTCTTTTGTTTTTCTCCCATGATCAACATTTTTGTACCACAAGAAAATATAAAAGCAGTACAACCTCAAGACTATAAACAGAGCTTGGATGTACTAACAAACCAAAAAACCAAAACAGAAGCCAAAAGAAACAGACCAAAAGAAAAGCATCAGAAGAAGACAAACTCAAACAGAAGCCTTGAACACTAAATATTCTACAGTAAAAAAAAAAAAGAAAAGTACATAAACAAAACCAAAAAACTGAAAATAAGTATAGCATCTCATTCAAAAAGAAAAAAAAAAAGCTTGCTTATTTTACTTCAAATAATCAAATAAAAATGCAATAAACCTCATAAAATATAATTTTGTAAGACGAGGCTACTAGAAAGCTTCAACCTATACATATCTCAAAATAAGAATACAAATGGAAGTAGTATTAGGGGAAGTAAATAGATCACTGATTCTCAATTAGCAACAAATATTGAAGAAAAAAAAAAATGAATATTCTCTTTCATCTTCACAAAACCATAATACAATTTAACAGGGAAAAATATGTTCATCAGTAAGATTATAAAATTTTTTTTTTTATCAAATTTTGACAACATAACAAAACTCAGAACAATTTCATATCACCATGTATCACATCACATAAGAAGCACGGAAAATCAATAATTAAAAAAAGAATTTATGAACAGAGCCGACATCTACTTTCAGCTTTAAGAAAATTGGAACATCAAACAGTAATCAATCTAAACCCATCCGATCAATCAGTGAAATTATCAAAACAGAGCACCAATCAACAAAAAATAATTTTGACAAACAAACAAGCAAACAAATTTCGCAACAAAAAGTTAAAATACAAAAATAGAAGAGCAAAAATTGATGTAAAAATCACCTTGCTTTTGTAGATGATGACTATCGGCAAAGTGTTTGGGCGAAGATCTTGTGCTCGGCAAAGAGTTTGGGTGACGGAAATTTGCGCCAGATCCTGTGCGGGAGAAACGCGAGAAAATATTATGGAAAAAAATAATATTATAATGAAAGAAAAGTAAAAAACTGGATAACTTTTTCTAAACGCTTGTATCATAAGTTTTTCAAATAAGCTCGAGTTTTTTAAAAAAGCCCATCCTACCAAACAAGGCTTGTTAAAATTTATGAAGCTTATAAACTAATTAAATAAGCTATAAGCTAGCTTTTCTGCCTACCAAACACAGCCTAAGTGGCAGGCTCACACTTGGCAAAATTTTATGTTTTGTCATTTGGTTTTGATAATTTTTAATTTACTCCCAATCTATATATACATAAAGGTTTGATTATTTTTTAGATATTAACTATTTTACAAAAAAAATATTTATTATTTCAGAAAATTAATTTGACAATTTATGGTATACTTCAAATAATCACTCATGGAATTGCGGCTCATTATTTAAGAAAGTAAATAAGTCATAAAAAATTATATTTAAGATATCTTAATTACTCAAATCATGTGAATTCGAGTGATTTATCCAAATATTGGAATTTCGGTAGTAATATCAAGTATGTTTACCCAAATATGGGAATTTGTAACTAAATTGTATAAATTATTATTTAATAAGTGTTTTATATTTTCCGTGTATTCTTTTGTGAAATAGATTTTTAATATACCTAAATTATGTAAATTGTGTAAATCCCAATGATTTATTCAATCTGCAAATAATTACTAAAATTACGGAAATATCGACAATAATAATAAATTATGCGATTTGCAAAAAATTATTCTAAAAATTTTGTGTTAATGACCATTTTTATTTAAATATTATTTAATAAATGTTATTTTTTTGTGTATTTAATTACTAAAATTGTGGATAATAAAGGAAATAATTAGACCATATAAATTTATATTTTAAGATACCCTAACTACGCAGGTCGTGTGAATCGGTTGATTTATTCAAATATAATTTCTTATAAAATTATTATAAAATAGTTGTGTTAATGGCAGTTTCTACTTAATTGTTTTTAATAACTGCATTTTTGGTCTTTTTTATTTTTATCTATAAAAAACGTGGGTCTTAATTTTGTTTTGTACACTTGGCAATTAATTTCGTGGTAAAACTGAATATCAATTATTGTGTTTTAACGGTAAAGTATGAAATCGAATTATTTAGTATACTATATGTTGATCCAAAATACCCGCTTATGGTAAAAATGACATCTCAATATTTTATTTTCATATTGCAATGCATTTTACTCGAGAATGGTCGATACTTCTTTGTAAATGTGCATCAAACATATTAAATTATTTGGTATATATATTTATGAAAAATCAATCAATCTATTAAAATTACACAATATCATTCACATAACTTAACAATCATAACAAAAAGAAAATTGAGATACCGAATCGCACCATAAAAATCAATCAACTCATACCATAATTTATCAACAAGTAATATTCTAAATTGAATTTTGTCCAAATAAAAAAATATCATATTTAAATTAAATAAGAATTTGATTAACAACTAACCAAAAATATAATTGCCAAACAAATAAAACTTTTTACAGTACAAAAAATGATGTATTAAATAAAATAAAATTTTTAGATTACACAAATCGTGTACTAAAAAATTTGTACAATTATTAAATTGATTATTGTAGTTTTATACACTTTTCTATTTATGGTATTTAACTAAATTATACTTTGTTCTTCCCCTATAAATTCAGTTATTTTTTCGATTATTTGTAGTCATCCTTTGTTTGGTTTCGTTTTTAATATTCAAGTATCCGATTTTTTTGGTTTCGTTTTTAATATTCAAATATCCGATTTTATCTTTTATTCAATTCAAGATGAAGTGAGAATTCAGTTTGATCAAGAAAATCACTAGAACCAAGAAACTACCGATGAAGTTGCAAGCAATTCGAATAATTGAAAATAAAGTTGCTGCTAAATACAAAAATTACTTAGAAATTCTGAGGAGGTGAGAAAAAATAATTTATTTTGAATTCGTTTTTTCAATATTATTATTATTATTATTTTTATTCTGTATATTAGTAAAATCATTATATACTTATTTATGTTTTTTAGATGTTTATTATAGGGAGGCCGTATTACTGAAATCATAAGGGCTGCTCATATCAAGAAATGGATGAACAATGTGAAAGAGGGATATATCTATGGGATTCAAAAAAATCAAGTGGAAGACAACTATGACTCATTCCGTCTAACAATTACACAATTTAAAACTGCAATCCACGGTATGACCAACATGGTTAGGTTCAAAGAGGACTTTTAAAATTTTTAGTGATTTTTGAAGCTTTGCTACTCTCCGTTATGGCCTTTGACAAGACCAAACAGTGCTTTTTAGTAGATTAATGTATTTAATTTTGTCATATTTATTTTTTTCGTATGGATAATTGATAATGCTTTGAATAATATTTAATTTACCATTTAATTGTAGATGTAATTGATCTGATTGTTGAAATTGGAACGATGCAAATTAAAGAGGTTGATGATGTCCTAACACAAATGATTGTGTTTTCTCTTAATGATGGACAATAACAATTTTTATTTTATTTATTATATGTTTTTTTTTTCTAATAATCATTTTAATAATTTATTTAAATGAACATTCGTGAGGAACAAGATTGATTGTACATTATGTGGTGATTTTGTTGATCGGCTTTTAGAAATTGAAAATGAATATGACAATGATCATCATCCACAATTTTCATAAAATGTATATGTGATAACATAATTTTCATAGTTCAAAAAAGAAAATAAAGTCATGAATACTGTTGACGTATGGATTTGTAACAACATCATCAACATTGTAAATACTTGAATTAAAACGGTAAGTAAAGAGAATGTGAGAATTTTATGAAATATTGTGTGGTCGGTGAGTTGTAACCGGTAATAGTACAAAATGCCGTCCCCCTATACTGAGGGAACCTTAAGCTATATATAGTAACATTTTGGTACACATTATTCGAGACCTTCCATCCTTCAGGATTTACTTGAAAAGTAGCTTTAAATGGACAGTTTGGTTAGTTGGGCCCACAATCATCATGACATCGGGCGCGAAACGTAAGGAGGTCGCGTAGGCGTCTTGTTACCTTCTTGGATATTGGTGAACTCGGTTACCACCGAGGTGGGTTGAAGTGGGTTATGGTGTCGGTAGACAATGGTGGGATTTTGAGAAGTCGGCCATGTCGGAGAAGCATAGGAAGTCGGTAGGAGCGTAATGTCGGTGAAGGCAAGTGGGTTCCGTCAGTTCGTCACGTCGGTAGGGAGGCGTAATTTCGAGGTTTCGTGTCATGTTCAAAGAAAAAGAGTTCCTGAGGACCATCTGACGTGTGTCATCGTTATCTTAAACCGTAGGCATTGATATTATACTATTTGTAACCCGTCTTTATTCGGAATTATATTCGAATTACCAAGTCGGTAGTCAACAGTGAGGCCCCCGACGCTAGTGGGTATACGGGAGTGATAGCTGCTGGCGTCGTCTAAAAAATCTTGTGAATCCGACTTGGGAATGAACTCTCACGTCGGTTCTCTTTATTGTCACTGTATTCTGGAGTGCCAACACCTAGCGAAATTTGAGTCTATTTGTCTTAATAAAAATATGCAACGAAACGATGCAACGGTTATGGACAAGGGTCTTTAAGGCGACGGTTCACGAAAAGACGTGCTAGCATTGAAGGCGTGTAACGGATAAAGAAGTAGTTTGACATGTGGAACAATTTGATTGGGCAGAGACCGAAAAGTGAAAGATCGCATCGTTTAAGATAGCGGCGAGTGGGTTCACGCGCCCCCAATTTACACAGTAACGGCTATAATCGATAGGTATAAAAACCCGGACTTGGAATTAGATTAGGTTTTCACCTTCTTTTCTTTATCTGCAATCTTAGCTATTATTGCGTATCAATCTTCTTAACTTTTTTTTTCTGCGCTCAATTGATTTTCGTAACCAACTTCATCTTGCTTGCCAGTTTGAGGATAAGTTGCAATTTCAATTTTCATTATCTCGTAATATCTTTCTCGTACATTTTTCTTTTCCGGCATGGCTTCATCGACGAGGAGTGGGGATGCATCAAGCAGTAGAACAGTATCGGAGGGGACGGAAATCTACGACGCCGAGTTCGTGGAACTTTTGTTCGAATACTATCGGTGGGACCCGATACTCGTGGGGCACCTCAAGATTGAACCGAATAGTATCAAGGAAGATGAAAGCACAAAAGAGAGGGTAATGTCGGGAGCGAACACTTAGAGGAGGCCGATTAGGGTGTGGCCAGACGTGAAAGTTAATTATTGGGGAGAATCGAGTATCTTGACAGACGCTGATGTAATTCTTCTTCGGGAAAGGAACTCATACTCAGAAACGAGAAAAGAGGCAAATAATAAGTGAGATATTGGGATGAGAATTCATAATAAATAATTATGTATAATATTAAATATTATTAGTAACAAATAATTGATTATGAAAAATATATATATATAATGGGAATTTGTATAATAACTGATTATGACTAAAATAAGTATTTATTTGTAACAAATATTTATGATATTGTTTGAATGGTAAATAATACATGGGAATTAACAAAATTTATTTCACGATAATATATGTAGTTGAAGCATTTATTTAGTCAAGAAAAATTGGAGTGCAAATTCCAATACAATTATAATACAAATTCATTGTTTATATGTAATAAATATTTTTTGTTGATAAATCATGCATAGAAATTGATAAAATTTATTACAATGTATTAAATGTAGTTTTGGAGGAAAATTTTCTAGCTGCTGTGCTTTTATCTACTCTAGACATGGCCAAATGGCGGGCCGAAGGGTTGGGTTTTGTCGACCCTGAACCGGCACGCCCTAAACCCGTGCCGGGCCGGGCCCGACCCGGATCTGACCCGGAAAATAAAAATAAAAAGAAAAAAAAATAGAAAAATTTAAAAACAATTGATTTTTCCCATGTCGAACCGGACCCGGCCCGGCCCGCCGGGTCGGTGTCGAAAAAAAGACGACCCTAAACCGGCCCGGTTGAAAATCCGAGCCGGGCCCGGACCCGTGGTCAACGGGTTTGACCGGCCCGGGCCGGGTCGGCGGGCCGGTTGACTCGTGGCCATGTCTAATCTACTCGATACATTTTCTTTTAGTTTGACATTTTGTAACTTGACATGCTTCGCTATTTTGTTTGGAATTATAGAACACATAGTCACAAATTAAATATTAGGACTTTCCCAAATTTTAGGCGCCAAACGTCACAAGATATTGCAGCACAAACTAAATACATTGGTCACAATTCAAAGCTAATCTGTTATGGCCCGAAATTGCTGCTTAGCCCTGCTTTTCAAGAAAACATTTTTCTTTTGACCATGTTCCATTTTTTTTTTCAGGTGTAAAAACTCCAAAAATTTAAAAAATAAAAGAAATAAAAAAACGCCCCTTTACTAGTGCCTAATCCTGCATCGAATTATATCACTCAAAGTTGCGTCAATTTATTTAATTTTGTGATGATGATCTGCCCTCTGCACATTACTGGATTCTTGATTCTTTCTGCTTCACAAATTTAGGCGACTCAAAAAGTAATTTTGTTACTCTTTGTTTATTGCATGCAAATGAAATGTCCTTTGTAAATTGTAATTACTAACAATATATATCCTTCTTTTATTCCCTTCAAATCAATCAAGAAATCACCAATCTCAATTGTATGATTTCCTTATAGATCAAGAATCATATCCCAAGTTTGTACTTTTGACATGTTCTAATCTGCAAATTGTTTCTTTCAGTAGCTCACATTGATTTGCATACAACTTCTTACAAACAATTCCTTTTTTGCCATCTGCATATTTTGCTCAATATTATGTGATACATTCATATAGATCATCAATAAAATGATAATTTGACATGTGCATTTGCATAATTTCAATAACCCGACAGAGATATGGAGCCCGGCCCGACTAACCGAACCGCCCTTCACGAACCAAGCCATTCCCCTGCCTCTCCCCTGTCCTCATCATCCTCCTCCTCCTCCTCATCGGGCCCGTACGACCGCCCAAAATCCAGGCACGGGCCCGAACCCGGGCCCACATCCCCGGCCTGCCCGTGGAGCATGGTTAGTGCCTCCCCTCCCCCAGACTACTGGGCAGGCCCAGACGGGCCCGTCGGGTACGACCCGAACCGAATCCCGGCCTCGATATTCTCGGCCCGGCCCGTGAACCCGGCGGACTGGAGCGCAGCCTCGAACGAGTCCCTTTTCAGCATCCACATGGGGAATAGTAGCTTTTCCCACGACCACGCGATACTTTACGCCAAGTCGGGAGAGCTCGGGAGGCTCGACGAATGGGCCGCCACCGGGCTTCCGACGGTCATGGAAGGGCATGCGCACGAGGATTGTGGAAGCAGTTTGGGTTCAGAAGGGGTCTCGAGGGTCGAGTCGCTCGGGAGCGTGGAAAAGCGTGGCGTCACCGAGGAAAAGAAGGGTTTTTCAGGGTCGGAGTCTCGGGCGGGCCCGCCGGCCGGGAGTAATCTTAAGTCGCCGAGCACGCCTCGAACGCCAGCGTGCAATGCTCGGCTGTCAGAAGAGAGTGGGAATAGCGGAAGCTCGTTTGCTTTCCCAGTGTAAGGTTTTTTTTTTTCGATTTTTTTGTCGACTTGTTGTGGTTTTGGTCCATGTAGCTTTTAAAAAATAAAAATAGCTACTGTTTGTGGAAGTATGAAATAATAGCCGTTTTGACATGTGAAATGACACAATTACCCTTATTAATAAGCAGAAACATTTTCTCTGGAGATCTAGGATCCCAGAAGTGGTTTCCTACTAAGGGCAATTGCGTCATCACGAAATGACTATTATTCATATTTCTATACAAAGTGGCTAATATTTCATCTTTGTTTTTGCTATTTGTCTATAAAACCAATGCATTGTTTTGTTAATGGTTATTGTAGAAGCTGATAAATAGTTCATAATGTGTTTGTTTGGAACTCATGTACACTTGTGTTATGCAGTATGTATTGTAATTTGTACACACAACCATAATACTTTATAAAGGCTTTTGTTGATATTAACATTTTGATTTTTGCTCATTTAGTCAATTAGTTTTTTGACCAATTTCATTTTCTTGATCTTAGATTGGTGAGTGATGGCGCGAAAACCGGCTCGTTGAGGAGGGTCAAGGATATACCGCAAGAGCCAAAACTCGAAGCGCAAGTTTCTAAATCGGCTCATAAAGCTCCCGAGCAGCATAGATGGTTTTGTAGGTTATGCTGTTGGCGCCGTTGCTGTTAAACCGAATATATTGAACAATTTCACAGTTTGGCCTTTTTCCTTTTACACTTTCATAAACAGGGGATTTTCAAGCTGTAAGAAGGAATAGTTCGATTTTAGATCGTAACTTTGTTCGGTTGGGATGATAATATGGGATTCAAGAACAGTTGATTTAGAGCTGCATGAAGCATAAAATTAAAAGATGAATGAGAATAAGCTTTTGTAGTTTGCTCTGTGATTGATTCAAGTGAGGATGAATTTTGAGGCTTCATATGATATACACAATAAGGCTGCTTCTGTTAGGCCACCTCGTATAAAAATTTGTATATTATAAATTGTTGATACCTTGTGGTATAAGTATAACATATATACATTTACTGAATTTTGCACTTGCAGCTTAAAATTAAAAAAAAAAAACAAAAAAAAAAAACAAAAATGCATTAATTTTATAGCCAAGTAGCAAATGCAAAGATGAAATACAACCACTTTTTGTAAGAGTATGAATAATAGTCATTTTGACATGTGAAATGACACAATTACCTTTATTGTCATTTTGCCCTGTGAAATGACACAATTATCCTTACTACCAAAAACAGATTCTTGAAAAAAAAGTTTTTGATAGTAAAGGTAATTGTGTGATTTTATAAGATAAAACGACAATTATTTCATACTTTCATAGAAAGTGAGTTTTTTTTGTCTTTTTAAAAACTACATGATGATTTAGTGATAGTATCAAAAAAATAAAAATAAAAAATCTCTGCAGAGACTGCAAAACTCCCATCATCTGAGGTTCAGATAATTCAAATTACATGTAACTTTTTTGATCCAACAGAATTATTTTTGTGATACCAATAAATTCTAGCTGCTGTCTAAATTTCAATTATATGGTTTTGAATAGTTGTGTTTTTCCGTAATGATAGGTTCAAAGACTTTTTATATTGAGTAGATTCTTGAACAATAGGCCATTGGAATATGTCCTTGTTTGAGGGCTTTTCTACTCTTTAATGCTATTCAAGAAATTCCAACCCCTTTTTTTTTTCTGCTTTCACATTCAAAAGGTCATGCAGTGTCATTGTTTAAGATAATGACCTTCTAATTTTGGATTATGTTAGGTTGGTCTAACCATCAAACAATATAATATTTAAAAAATATGCATACTCATATTAAAAAATATTATACTATCTAAAAAGAAAAATAAAATAAGCAAAAATACGTCAAGAAATTTGCCTTTTCTATTGATTCCTACAGATTGGATGGAAAAACATATCTTACATTAATCAAATAATGAATCAAAAATTCTTATAGTCAAGATCTTAGTATCCAAACATCGCTTTTGTGCCAAATATTTTTGTGAATTTGTCAAAATTGTTGTGCTATGCATGATTCGGAGGTGAGCTTAGCAAATTAATAAAATTAAATGTAAAAAACAGCTTTTTTACGCCACATGAAAATTGGAAAACCTTTCAAATTTCTGTGTACGTTTCCCCCTTTTTTTTTCCTTTTCTTTTTTATTTACTTTTCTTGGCTCTCAATTCTCACCAAACGCACCCTAATAGGATAACGGGCCCCCACACAGTACCCACACGTCAACTTTAATAATTGAGAGAGCCCATCAAAATCAAGATGGAGCCCGTTAAGCCCTGCTAGGGCTAGGGTTTGGGCCGTGGCTCTTTTGGTTCCAATGGGGCTGATAGATGCATTTATTGACCGGCTGTGTGGTCCCCACACAAGCCAAAAGGAAAAGAAATAGAATTATAGAAATAGTATTTATAAATTTATAATAATTGAATTAACAGGGGAATGTACGTGTTATCCCTCGCTGGATGCTAATAATAATGTCTTATTTAGGAAAGGAATTAAATAATATATGTTATCCGTGTTGTTTTCTATTCAAGTGTAATCATGGATTGATTTCTTTATGCAAGAGTAAGTAGGAAGATTGCATATTCTTGTGCGTGCTTCAATAGGAATGGTTTCTTCTTTCTTTTTTATTTTTTCCCCTTTCTATTTGGGGAGTAATCATGAAAGATTGCTAGATTCATGAAAGAATTAGATAATTATAATAGAAAATAAATGATAGGAGTATCTTTTTATCATAAGTTTATGAAAACCAAAAATTACAATATTGGATATGAAGGTATAAACGAGACGACTCGAGTTGATACTTGAGTTTGGTCTCGATCTTTTTTCTTTTTTTTTTTTAGTCTGACAACTGAAGAAGCATGATTTTTGTTCGTTTTTCAATATTAATGAGTCAAACTCGAGCATTAATAAGTCAAGATATAACAAATTACATTAAAATATCTATTTTTGAATCTTACCTTGTCGAGCCAATCTGAACTCGTTAACTATATAAGTTTGCTCGACTCGTTTACCACACGAGACGAGCAATGATCGTGAATAACTCGTTTTGTTTAACATATCAACAACAACAACAACATAGCCTTTTAGTCCCAAGCAAGTTGGGGTAGGCTATAGATGAAACCCAAGAGAACCAATGATAAGAGAAACACAAAAAGGACTCAAAACAAAAGGAAAAGATTGGAGCAAAAGAGAAAGGAGCAAAAGTCACAGTTCTGGCACGTTGATTGCTAACATCCAAGCGCTCCTATTCACCGCTAAATTCTTGGAGATATTCCAATCTTTAAGGTCTCTCTTAACCGACTCTTCCCAAGTGAGTTTAGACCGACCTCTACCTCTCTTTACATCATCGACCCGCTGTAGGAGTCCCAAGTGAGTTTAGACCGACCTCTACCTCTCTTTACATCATCGACCCGCTGTAGAACTCTCCTATGCACCGGTGCATCAGGAGGCCTCCGTTGGACATGTCCGAACTACCTCAGCCAATGTTGAACCAATTTCTCTTCAATTAGAGTCACCCGACCTTATCTCGAATATTCCCAAATATTAATATTTTAAGATGATTAGAAAATATAAGTTGAATAAAACACCTCCTTTACTAATATACATATATATATATATATATATATCCACTGTAAAAAGATGAAGACTAGTTATGAGCGTGAGGTCGTATTTGTAGTCTTATATCAGGTCTTGATTAAGACCAAAATTCCATTAATTAAAAAAATAGATCCCCAAAAAATTTCAAGGGGAGAAAAAAGAAACAGAAGGCAATGACAAAGAAGAATACTTGAAAATGTGAACAGCAACGCGTTTTTTTTTCTTCAAAGAACACACAAAGAGAGCCACTGTTCCTCTCTCTCTCTCTCTCCATTTTCCATTCACAGTCATAATTAACGAAAAGCAGAAAAAAAATAAAGCGAAAACTCAAAATCTGGGCTAGGGTTTGAGTTCCTTTTATGCTCGTGCAATAGAGGGGGAGACGACGGGCCCGGGCTTCTCGAGGACCCTCTTCTGGTTTCAGTAATGGGTCGTTTTCCTTTTGCCATGAAATGGCACCATCTCCATAAGCCGTCGCATCTCTTGCTCTTCATCTGCATCTTGCTTTCAGCTCAAAACGACGAGGTTTCAGCGTCTGATTCGGACAAATCCGCTCTCCTGGAGCTCAAGGCGTCGCTTTCGGACCCTTATGGGGTGCTCAGCAGCTGGGGTTTGCAGAACCAGAATCATTGCTCGTGGTTCGGGGTTTCCTGTGATTCGGGTTCTCGGGTCGTGTCGTTGATTGTTACTGGTGGAGGTAATTCCTTGCCCTGTGCTAGAATTGCTAGGTTTCCGCTTTATGGGTTTGGGATTAGGCGACCCTGTTTGGGCAGAGGTAGGAAGGTTAAAATCATGGGTAAACTTTCTGCGGCTGTTGCTAAGCTTAGTGAGCTCAAGACTCTATCTTTGCCCTTCCATGAGTTGAGTGGTGAAATTCCTTCGGAAATTTGGGGAATGGAGATGCTCGAGGTTCTTGACCTCGAGGGGAATTTGTTTTCGGGCTCGTTGCCAGCTCAGTTCAGTGGGTTGAAGAATTTGAAGATTCTTAACTTGGGATTCAATGAGATTTCAGGGGAAATACCGCCTTCTTTGTCGAACTCTGTGGGGCTCCAAGTTCTGAATTTGGCTGGCAATCAAATTAATGGATCGATCCCAGGGTTTGTTGGAAGGTTTAATGATTTGAGAGGATTCTACCTGTCGTACAATCTACTCAGTGGATTCATACCCCTCGAAATCGGTGATAGTTGTGGGAAACTCGAGCATTTGGATCTTTCTGGTAATTACTTGGCCGGGAGTATTCCGAAAGGCATTGTGAACTGCAAAGGGTTAAAAACCCTTATTCTGTTCTCAAATATGTTGGAGGAGGTAATTCCAGGCGAACTCGGCCAGTTGAGTCAGCTGGAAATTCTTGACGTGTCGAGGAATAATTTCGGCGGCCCTATACCTCTGGAGCTCGGTAATTGCACCAAGTTATCTGTACTTGTACTCTCTAATTTATGGGATCCCCTTCCAGATGTTTCTATTTTAGGAGGCGGTTATTCAGAGGAGAAGCTGGCTTACACTGCCGAGGAGTACAACTTTTACGAAGGTACTATTTCATCACGAATCACGAGCCTCCCTAACTTGAGGATGGTGTGGGGCCCACGGGCGACTCTGGAAGGAAAACTTCTCGATAGTTTGGTCTCGTGTGACAGCTTGGAGGTATTGAATTTGGCCCAGAATTATTACTCTGGAAGAATCTCGGATGGCCTTAACAACTGCACGAAGCTGCGTTTTCTTGATTTGAGCTACAACAGACTTAGTGGGGAGATTGTTGATAGCATCCCGATTCCTTGTATGACTCTGTTCGATATCAGTGGGAATTATTTCTCGGGTAATATTCCCACTTTCAGTAACCGGATGCCTTGCGATCCTGTTCGGTACAGGTTTAACAGTGACTTTTCATATCCTCAAGAAGATCCTTCATCTGCATATATATCACATTTTATGTACAGAACTTGGGTCGAAGCCTCTCCGCCGTTCTACGACTATGATGATGGAAATCTCCTCGTCTTGCACAATTTCGGTTCAAACAACTTTACAGGCCCCGTGCAGTCGACACCTGTCTCATCCGAAATTCTAGACAAGAATACCGTTTATGCATTTCTTACCGGTGGAAACAAGTTGACCGGAAGCCTCGATGGAGCTGCTTTCTTCGATAAGTGTGATCGAGCCAGAAGTATAATACTCAATGTCACTGACAACTTGTTGACCGGTCAAATCCCGGCCGATATTGCCACAACTTGCAAGACTCTGTCGATCCTCGATATATCCGGCAATAAGATCTCCGGAAGCCTTCCTCCTTCTATCGGCGAATCAGTTTCACTTATCGTCCTTAATTTAAGCCGCAATTTACTAAAGGGTCCCATTCCGGCGAGCCTTACCGGAATAAAGGATCTCAAATCCCTCTCGTTGGCCGGCAACAACTTGGACGGTCCCATCCCGGCAAGCTTGGGACAGCTGTACTCTCTACAAGTGCTCGACTTATCCTCCAACTCGCTCTCAGGCGAAATCCCGAAAAACCTCGCCAACTTAAAAAACCTGACTTCTTTCATCCTGAACAACAACGAGTTAACCGGGCCGTTACCCAACGACCTTCTAAACATACCTACCCTCTCGATTTTCAACGTGTCCTTCAACCATTTAACCGGAACTCCGTTTTTCAACAACACCATGATCAAATGCGACAGCTTTATCGGTAACCCTTCCCTCCACTGCCCGATTCTCTCGACCTCCCCGCCCTTCGCAGACCCACCTGACCGAAAAACGGACCCAGGCAGTAATTTTTCCCCATCCTCGAACCGTAACCGGAGAAAAAATCATAACGGGTTCAAAACCGTCGAGATTGTCTCGATAACTTCCTCAGCCATTATTGTCTCGATCCTTCTCTCCTTAATAATCCTTTTCTTCTACACCCGAAAATGGAAACCCAGGTCCCGAGTCAGCACAACCGTCCGAAAAGAAGTCATCGTCTTCACCGACATAGGCGTCCCCCTCACCTTCGAAAACGTGGTCCGCGCCACGGGGAATTTCAACGCGAGCAACTGTATCGGCAATGGGGGATTCGGGGCCACGTTCAAGGCCGAGATCACGCCAGGTGTCCTTGTCGCCATCAAGCGCCTCGCTGTTGGCCGTTTTCAGGGCGTCCAGCAGTTCGACGCGGAGATCAAGACGCTCGGCCGGCTTCGCCACCCGAACCTCGTGACGCTGATCGGTTACCACGCGAGCGAAAACGAGATGTTCTTGATCTACAACTACTTGCAGGGAGGGAATTTAGAACGGTTCATTCAGGAGAGATCGACGACTCGGGCAGTCGACTGGCGAGTCCTCCACAAAATCGCTTTGGACATCGCGCACGCGCTGGCGTACCTGCACGACCAGTGCGTGCCACGTGTCCTCCACCGAGACGTAAAACCGAGCAATATTCTTCTCGACGAGGATTACAATGCTTACCTGTCGGATTTCGGGCTGGCTCGACTTTTGGGCACCTCGGAGACCCACGCGACAACTGGCGTAGCGGGGACTTTCGGGTACGTCGCACCGGAGTACGCGATGACGTGTCGGGTTTCGGATAAGGCTGACGTGTACAGTTATGGGGTGGTTCTTCTCGAGCTGCTGTCGGATAAGAAGGTGCTTGACCCCTCGTTTTCTTTGTATGGGAATGGGTTTAATATCGTGGCTTGGGGGTGTATGCTGTTGAGGCAGGGCCGGGCCAAGGAGTTTTTCGCGAGCGGGCTTTGGGATGCGGGCCCGCATGATGATCTGGTGGAAGTGCTGCATTTGGCAGTGGTGTGTACGGTTGAGTCACTTTCGACTAGACCGAGCATGAAGCAGGTGGTTAGGAGGCTGAAGCAGCTTCAGCCACCCCCTTGTTAGTCTCGGTTTATGTTAGAGTGAAATTTTTAGTAGAAAGGGAAGTGGGTTCGAATTTTTCCCGGTAGCTGCTTGTAAATTTGTAGTGATAGTTTCTTTTTTCCTTGTTTATTACCAGGCTGATGATGATTGGCAGGTTAGGAAAGTTTTATTGATGTTCTCGTTATCATCCTGCAGAAGAATGCAGATCATTTGTTTTCGCACGTTGTATACTTGTATCTCTTTGCTATTTCGTCGTGTTAGAGAAAATAAGATGAGAGTTGAGGTTTCTGAGGGGAAAGATCAAAGAAGAAAAATTATCGGAAGCTCGGGGATGAGCAAAACCGATCGGCTGTCAATTGTGTAAAGAGATAGATAGGTATGCATGTCTTCAGGATTGAACACACCTTAATGTGATTTGTGATATTTTCCTCATTTGGCCAATAGTTGTGATTTTGAAGCTTTTGAGGTAGTTGATAAGTTGCAGAAACCAATTGATCTGTTGGCGAATAGTTCTGATTTTGAACCTTTGTAGTAGTTTGATAAATTGCAGAAATTAATTGATTTGGTGGGAATATTTTTGCTTACAGTTTTCTCTTTGGCGCTTGTAAAGGAAGTGTTTGTTTTCAGTTTTCACATAAATGACAAGTCATTAGAGTTATAATTCAACAATTGACAATGTTTTCAATTTTAACAATTATTACACTTTTCCACTTAAATGTAATTCTAGTAAAACACAATCCTAACATAGTGATTCCAAATGATTAAAACAGAAAGAGGCAAAGAGCTACAAATCCTCAAAGGGTCAACAGAACTTTCCCTTACAGACCCTTTTTCTTCTTCTCCTCCATCTAAGGGACATGAAAAACAAAGTCTAAAACAGTCTGAACTAAGTCTACATAGTTCTCAACTTGTTAAAAATACAATCATAAGAGGGGAAAAGGGTTAACAACAATGTGCTTCAACGGGTGCTCCACGTCAGCACCCCGGACCCCACCATGCTCGACAAATTCCTTGGGCGTGAGAAAAATGCCATGACAAACGCACATGATTCTTAAATCCTCGCCCTTTTTGTAACCGTACAAGAATCCTTCTACTCTGCGGCCATTGGGCCCGGTTTCTTTAGTGGTGACATACGGCATGTCGCGCATTGTGTTCTTGAGTTGTTGGTTGGTAGTGGCCCCTTTTGCTTCTGTCTCGGAGGCCCGGCCCATTGGCTCAGGCCCAGGCCCGTTTGAACTCTGCTTGCTGGAAGGTGAAACCTCGGCATTTTGTTTTCGGCCTGCTAAGCAAAGGATAGAAAACACGTGAGGGAGAGAAAAGGCAATGTAGTTAAGTGATGTCAATTTGCACAAGATTTATGAATGGAAGGGTATGAATCATAAGACAATATAGTCGATAAAACCCAGTAGAAAAATAGACCTTTGTATATTTCTCAATAGCTAATGAAAATGTTCCAAACTGCTAGTCAAACATAGTTCTAAAACAGAGATAGTAAAGAATAATTGTGATAAATCGAGCAGATCTGATTTCAGTTCCAAATTATAACAGTTGCAAGAAATGTATATAACCATATCATACAGATAAAGCATTTAAACACACAGATTATGTGGAATGAGATTGAGATTGTTCAAATCCACATTAATTTACCTCCTCTTTGAACATGAAAATCAATATCTAATGTCAGCTCATCCACACATAGTCAAATACAATTGAAAATCTGAGCAATCAATCGAAATCGAACAACAAATGGATCTTAACATGGGAAAACATCAATCGAAGTCAAACAAATGACTTTCGGAGTCTCTTTGCATTCAAACACATTTTACAGTCCTCACATGACAATGTCAAGGAACAAAAACTACAAGAATTCATCGTGTTCGATGCCAAAAAAATCACCAAATGCACAAGTTTTGCCATCCAGCAGAGAACAAATGAACAAGATAATAATTACAAACTAAAAGACCCATAAAAGAAAGAAAAAAAGGCACATCATTTATCTCTTATCCTCCTAAAGTCCTGATAATCAGACTAAAAACCCCATTAAACACAACAACAAATAAGTAAATAAAAATAAAATCAATTACCTTCAATTAGATCAGAGGAGCCAGATGATCCACTCCTCATCGGCCCTGCGGACCCTTGAGATGACGACTCGACAACATCCCCATTCTCAAACTTTCTCAAAATCCCATTCCCTAACAACCTTTGACCATTCGAATCTCCATTAACAGACTCATGCTGCAGCCCGTTTTTCCCGCCATTAGCGTCCCTCGGCAACCTCAGGTTTTTCATCTTCTCCATCCTCTTCTTCCTCGCCTCCATCCGCCTGATCGACTGCAGCTCCTTCCGCCGGCGCCACTCCTCCTCCGTCTCCACCGGGAGGGACCGCGTCCTCGACAGCGGCGGCGCGTGCGCCTCGGACCCCGCGACGCGCGAGCCGGTACCCACCGCGAAGGCCGCCGCGTCGGCTATGGAGGAGGCGCGCTTGAGCTTCTTGCTCCTTGTGGGGTCCACCCCGAACCTCCCGTTCGTCGACAGCCCCAGGCTCAGCTCCATAACCTCGTCCTCGTCCTCGTCTTTTCCTCCTCCTTGTTCTCCCTGCCTTTTGTCTTTATTCGGACATTCGCTCTGTATTTTCGCGAATTTGCAAAGCAGATCGAGTTTTTTCGAGCTACCCTCAGCTCCCTCCATTACTACAGCTTCAGAATCGAAACGCCAAAATCAAGAATTTAGTGGGGCTCCATTTTTTCCCGGCAAAAACTGGATAAAGATGGGATTTTTATCAATTCAAACCCTCATCTGAAGGAAACAAAGAAAAGGGAAGAGAGGCAAATAATAATAATGAATTGTTGGCTTTTATGGGATTAAATGGAGAAGAAAACGGGCCAGAGGAATTACGGAAGCCATTAGAGATGGAGGGAGCTTTGTATGNAATGAAATGAAAGGGAGAGAGGATGGATTTTATTTATTTATTATTTTAATTCGTTTGTGGTTAAATGTGAAAAGACAGAAAAGGTGTCGAAAGCGTAACGTGAAGGGGCGAGGAGCGCGACACGTGTTGGATGAAGGATAATTTGGGATACGACACGTGGTTGAGACAAGCAATTTTCGAGGATAGACTTTACGATTTTTTTATTCTTTTAAAGCTCCTTTTAATTATTTATTTATATTTAAAGGAACAAAACAAGTGTCTGTCTGCACCTCGCCTTTTCCATACCTCCTTTCCTACCTTCGGCTCTCTCTTTTCGACACGCCGCTACTACTATTTATTCTAAATTAAGAAATTATTATAATTTTCCTATAATTTTCATTTAGAATCACTTTATTCAAATACTTGCACATCATAAAAAATGTGTAATTTTTATTTTCAAACTTATGTGTAATTTTTATTTTCAATTGTGACAGATATATTCTCACCTTATCTACCAACTTTCTACATCTCAAATTATGTGTAATTTTTTATTTTCAATTGTTTTTTACCAAAAAACAAAAATAAAAAGAAAATGAAGAAGGCACAGTTGAGTACACAAGTGGGTGGATTTGACAACATTATCGTCTGACCCATTGTCCCCACCAAAAAGGGTTTTGAAATAAGATAAAAATATTTTTTTCCCAATATTGGTTTTTCATTTTTGTAAAAGATAATTTTATGCAAGTTGCTCAACAAGTGACCTTAGTTTAATTCCACAGGGCAACTAAAATAATATCAGTTATTCCTAAAAAACAGAGTGAGATTTGAGGATTACGTTAAAGGAGATTTTCTTACTAATTTTTTTTTTTTCTTCTGATGTTAACAAAACCAACTTGTTTGAATGTGTACATAATGGTATGCCAACTTTTGATAACTACCGGACCAAGTTGCCTCATTATGTATCTGATTAATCTTTTATCAAATTTCCTCAAATTATTATATATTACCATAATAGGAAATATTATTTTATTTTCTTTAATTTCATATTTTAATTATTTTTTCTGTCTCCTAATTCAAANTTTATTCTGTAAGGATTTTTTATACCATACAGTTGGACAATCCCGCTCTTCTATCCACGATTGACACTGCTTAATGACCCACCAACTTATGTTGTTGAAGATTATCGTATATGTAGAATGTAGTTGAAAGATTATAAAATCCCGATAAATGTCTTGTGAGTGCAACATAATGTGCTCGTGGTTTGTTGTGGGCAATTCAGTATAACTGAAATACAAGTATGAAATAATAAATAACAAAAAAAATAAAGATATTATCTAAAACGAGAATTAATACCAATTGAAGCAGTATAAATAACTTTTTTAATATTAAAGTCACTATTTTTTAAAAATATTTTAACATTATAAAAAAAGTTTTTATAAAATTAAAAGCACGTATGGTAATATACATATAGTACAAGTTGAAAAAAATATTTTACCCAAAATTAGGCAATATATAATATTGTAAGTTGCAAAGCTAAATTTGGGTAAAATACTAATTTACTGCTCCTTCCTATTTTGTTTATTTATTAATCAAATAAATCACATTCGGATCTTTTACACATTTTTCTATTATTATTTTTATTTGACTAATACACTACACGTTTTGGAAGGAATGTTGTTGAGTACGATGAGTTTTTTCTTTTAATAGAATATAAAAAAACTGAAAAGAAATAAATTAATTAATGCTAAGTTGCTTTAAATCAGGGGACACTTCTTTAAAAATCCCTAGACTCTTTTTTAACTTCTATTTCAGTCCCTATGTCTAATTTTCTTCCACTTTACTCCCTCCCACTTGTAAGACTTCAATTATTCCCATAATACCCTTTACTCCTTTTTATTTCTTATGCAACTGTTACTTGTTTTTGTAAAATTATTAATCTGTTTAATTGTTTTTCGCATATCTTCATCATGTCATAATAAAATTCTAAATTTGTAATTTCATGTAAATAAATATACCTTGTTATTTCCATTTTAATATTTTGAATTTCCCATTCTATGTCAAAATAGATTTTTCTTGTGCTCATTTTTTATCTTTGTTGTTCTAACTTTTTTCAGACTTTGGGTAAAAACTTTTAAACATTAATTAGTATACTATTTAGAACTCATTATTAAGTCCTAATTCTTTACTTATTTCTTGAACTTTTTGTTCAATTTTATATATTTTGTTGTTGGGTTTTATGATTACTTCAGCAGTATTATTTCTTGAAGAACTAGTTTCTTCTTCTTCATTATTCTTTTTGGGAGTAATATAGTCTATACTGGGTCTAGTCATAGACTCAATTCTTTGCATTTGAAAATTTCTTTTAGGAGCTTCCAAATGTAATATGGGTGAGAATAACTCGTCAATTTCAATTTTATCATGAGGTTTGAATGACAAACTATGATGACTATTGGTTAATGCATAATTTATTCTCCAGGTTACTGAGAAAGGGTGGTTTCCCTTTTTCATTAACTTATTTCTCAACATTTTCCAACACAGAGTGATGGATTCATCAAGATTATTGTCTAATAATGACATTCCTACTTGATAATTAAGATTAAACTTGATTTTTCCATATTTCAAGTTTCCTTGTCCTTCTGCAACAAGTGCATCAGACTTGTTTATCATCCTATTATCTTCTAGTCTGATTAGCATAGGTGTATCTATCCCTAAGCTAAACGTGCTTTTTAATATCATTTGTATTGTTGATACATGTATATATGCTATTTTATTTCTAACTTCAGATTTTATTTGTTTTAAATTTTTATAAATTTGTTTTTTACAAATTACAGGTATGATTACATTTCCTTGTGTTTGGTCTGTATCAATTGCTTCTTCTCCAGCAATAATACCAAAGAATATTTCATTTTTTCTTAGGATTAAGTTATTAATCCTTTTAAACACTTTTTCTTTTGAGAAATTGTGTTCTTTATTTAAATCGTGTTCAACTTTTCCAAGTTTTTTAGCATCTATCAGGGCTTCTACGAAATATCCTGACGTTTCTTGTTTTGAGAAATAATCTAATTGATTATTTTCCATTTAATTATTCTCTGTACCTCCAAGGATCTAAACATTGTGTAAAGAATTCTTCTTCTACTCTAGAGTTAGTTCTAGCATTATTTTCCAGGATTTGTATTCCTATATTTAAATTTTTAGTTTTTTCTTTGTACCACTGTAATTCAATATTTTCTCTTCCAGAAAGAGTTATCCTATTTTCCATTTCGTCAATTATTTTTTCTATAGTTTTTCTTCTGGCTAAGAAGGCATTTAACCAGTCTATTCCTGGCATTTTAGTTTGATATTTCTTGCCTGCTACCAGGCTCTGATACCAATTTATAGGGGTACCTTCCTTTTAGAGTTTTTCAAACTCATTTTCTGAGATCTTAATTTCTTTTCTGCGGAAATATAAGGAAAGTGCTCCTAATATTTGTCCGATTCTCAGCTTCGGTTAGCGTCCAAACTTTGTTTCTTTCAGAAACTGTATTGTAGCTTTGAGCTTTTCATTTTGCTTTTTAATTCCGGGATATATATCACCATAATGACAATCACAGTTTTTATACATCCTAATGTCTTCTTCAATACAGGAATTTCCTGTAAGAAGTTCTTCTAATTTTTCAATAGCTTCTTTTTTCATTTTCTCCAAAAGCTTATGTTCTAAATATTTTATATTTGAATAAATATCTAGTTGAACTGGTTTTTTACATATATTTTTTGAAATTTCAAAAATTTCTTCCATTTATTCTAAAGGTTTTAGAATCTTCATACCTGGCTTCTTCTGAAGTTTATCTGTTCCTGGGCATCAATACCCTTTCCTTCCAGTTTGTTCTGTTGATGGGTCCACCACGGCTAACTTTCGCCACTGCATTTTTATCTCAATTCCAAGCTATGCTTCAAGACGCTTTACTGCCACCACCGGGACTTATTCTGTCGAGCTTTAGCCTCCAGGAACTCCAGAGATTATGCAGGCTGTTGCCTTTGGTTTCTTTCTGACCCTTACTGGACCTGGGTTTAGATCTTAATGTTCTAAGTTTTGGAACCTTAAAGGTTCTCTTTTTCTTTTCTTAATGTAAAGACAATTTTATAAAAAGTTTTATCTTATTTCTTGAGAAAAGATTACAAGGGAGAGGAGAACATAAGATTGTTCATGTTCCGAAAATAAGAATGCCTTACCACATATCGGAGGTCACCCTTATATGGACTTCATAACTTAACAACTAAGAGACGAAAAGATCTTTACCACAATAATGGCACATGGCCCATAAAAAGTAATACATAGCTGTTGATGAGTCAGCTCTCACTTATTAGTGCCTTTCATAATACGGCTTAATAATGTAAGGCACGCGGCATTACATTGTGGTGAGTGGATAAGGCTCCAACCTGGCCCTGACTCAGCCTGTCAGATCATGCTGGGGTCAGCTTTGATGTCTTCCTCTTGTGCCGACTCTCCTTTCTTAGTGCTGGGTTCATGCTGTCGAGCATTATTGTCTTCTAGCTTCTTCTTTTGACTTTTCTCTTTTTCTTCATCAATCGTTGCTTGTACTGCATTCAATAGGGAATGTGTTTCTTCACTGCATCTGGTTTTATTGATAAGAGAGTTCTTCTAGTTTTCGATAATCGCCCAGTCTCGACGATCAACCTTCTTTGTGAAATTACTGATTAGCAGAAATTCTTCGCTGCAAAAATTCACCTTGATTTTACTGGCTGCCGTGAACTTGTCCAAAGTCTTTATTAAGGAGTAATAAGAATCACTCCTTTCCAGTTTTAATTCATCTTCAGACGGACTTTTCAGTTCTTGGATTAGAACATTTGGAGGTCGAACCTCTCCACAAATTCCCATTTGGATAAAATGATACCCGGGGAATTGTTTTTCGTTTTCCCAGTCAGGAATTGTACTGCAAACCTTGAAGTAAATACCTTTTTGGTTTTGCAATATCTTGCATTTTTCCATATACAAACCTGTGGCCTGTTTAAGCTTGGGAAAGTATTGTAATTCCAACAATTTGTTATCA